GATACTTGATGCTAGAAATGGATGTAAAGTCATTTCTACTCACTGTGTCCCAAGTAGCTGGTTCACAGTAATCACAGAGCAGAGCCAGGGACTTGGCCGGCTTCTGATCTCCCCCTCTCGAGTGCTTCTCTAGCAACTTCTGTGTTTTTCACTTTTCAATAACCACATGTATTAGAAATCTGTTCCAAAGCAAAAGCTATGTGGTACCTTTCCTTGCAAAGTCTCAGGACCGAAGCTGTAGACTCTCTAGGTCTCCCTGGGAATACGTAATGGTATTCCTCATTTACCAAATCAAAAAGCTGTGCTAGGATGCTGTTGGTACGAGATCACAGATGAATCACGACTGAGTTTTCTAACGCATCCTGTCTGATTTTTCTCCTGAACTGCCTATCATGAAACCTCAGGCTTTGGGCATGTGGGCAGTGGGGTAACCCAAGGGAGACAGAAGGAGGGTTCTGTTTGTTAAGACATCACCAGCCCGACATGGGCATGGCCAATATGGGAGCTGGAATTATTTTCAGTCACGGGAGAAAATGCCTGGTCTAACATCACTACAAGCACACAAAGCCAAGTGGCCTCCCTTTATGGTACGTCAGCTGTAGATTACAGATAGGACCTGGGTGTCCCCTGGCCAGAATGTGACTGATAGCCAGGCAGCTCTGTAGCAGAAGCAGCCCTGCTACCTGGTTAACTTCCAAGGCCACCTTGGTATCTGATAGCACCTATAGTCAGGCATCTAAAAAGTCCTTCACTTCCTCCTACGTCCTGGAAATTTCCAAAGAGCTGCCAGTGAACCTTTAACATGTTCCACGAGCCCCTCCCAGTTCCTTCTCTGGCGTGTCCTTTGGGAGGATGCACCAGTTGACAACCTGGAGAACAGCCCTTTGAAGGTTCTGTTATGTAACTTTCATCTGTGTCCCTTTTCAGGAGAGCCGCCTTCCAAAGCGTCCCATGTGTTAGTCTAAGATCACGTTCCTTGGAACCCCAAGATCAGGTGGCAGCTGAAGGATTTATTTTAGCTTTCCCCAAAGAACCTGTAACACTAACCCTTTTAAGGTTATAGTTATTTCTGAATCTCTTTTGAAACAGATATATTTGATGTCATGTACTTTTAAAATATCTGCCACCCTGAAAAAGTCCATTGAATCCTTAAGTCTGTCCATAGCAAAGTCACCCCCAGTTATGTTCTCTGTATCAAATCCTCTGTATCCTATTTTTAGTGCTATGACATTATGTGGAACTTTGGGACAAAGAACACAGTTTGGTCACCAGAAATATTGCAGTAACAGTGGAAACAAGGTATAGCAGGGGGTGATTTAAACCCATTTAAAATCCTGCTGGGTTCTGCACTTGGTAACTGTGACGGTCTGAACAAGACACCTAAGCACACAGCTCTGCTGTCTCATCTAACATGAGGTTAACGCATCTCCTTCGCGGAGCAATAAGGACAAAATGCTTGACGACTGGCAGTGGCTTTCTTCCGACCTCAGGCAACACACTACCTAGGTGTTACAAGAAAGCGCAAACACAGAAGCTGGCCAAAATTCCACTGTGCAGCTGAATTCGCCAACTCTTCACCATTTTTCAGCTTCAGTTCAAGGCTCTAATTAAAGTACTTTCCATTTTCAAAACAAATGCAAACAGTAATTACGTACGTCCCCTCCTTACCTTCCAGGAACAGCCTGACACTGAGGTGAAACTTCCAAGTCCCCTGGACACGAAGCTGTACAGATAAAGTGGCATTCCCTGGCTACCCTATTGACCCAATTACATAACGGTTCCAATGCCTCCTGCCACACGGATCTCTGAGAGGGTTACAGTTTCTTCTAGTGTGCTCAGATGTGTGGTGAGGCTCCACCAGAGGAACCCTGACAGAGAATTCGTGTAACTGCCACTGAGAGATAAGTTCCATCACCACACATTCAGGGAATGCAGTTTCCACTTAGGGTACTAAAATGCATCTTTTATAATGACCAGATCTTTATTGTTTATACGGATGTCTAATTGGAAATGTTATGTAACCGTAAAGCACAGAGCCTGCTGAAGCTATTAATAACCAGCTGCAATCACAATCTGAGGGTTCTTCAAGCTCAGAGGTGACGGATCACCTGGTACTAATACGCATGTACGTACACAGGATGCAGGCAAACCTATACACTCGCTGCATGTATGTAAGCATGGACTCAGAGAATGGGAATGATTTGTCCAAGGCCATAAAGCTAAGTAACAAGAGAGGCAGGAATAAACCCCAGGTTTCCTGATCTGTTTTCTTCTTTACCTCTGACACATTCTCATGTGTACACCATAGCACTGGGACAGACTTCACAACACCAAGCATGATCGCCATGAGCAAAGAGCATTCCTCAGCTAGAAATGACAAGCACCCAAGGGAATGCCTCCTTGTGGTTATCCGAAACACACTTACCCTCCTGTCCCCAAAGAAATCTAGGCACTTCAAAGGTACTTTAATATGAGGCTACTGCAGGTACGGTATGGAGGAGCCCAGCTTTAAGACTTTACAGAAAACTAAACATAAAAAAAACTGAAAAGGAAGAATTTATTCTTGCCTGGCCATTTTCATGCTGGTGGAGAAAAGGAGAAAAAAAAAAAAAGAGAAAATGGATGAATTAAAAACTAAGCATCAAGAACGGGAGTAACTGTTCATTGTGTAACGTAGCTTTGGATATATTAGCTGCCTGATGTATGATCTCAAAACCACTATTTCATAATTACATTATCGTTTTCAAAAGTAACTTAATGGAGGCTGCTTCTCTGCATTCATTTTTATTCTAAACCTCACTACTTAATCATGAGGCGTACAATACACAACGCTGGGAGATCAAGACACATTATCTTCTTTTGCAGACCCTATGAGCTTGTCAAAAACCAAAGCTTGGCTCTGGTTTTATGAATCTCAAACAGCCACTAAAACTGCTGGGAGCTTTGTCTCTGGGAAAAGGTGGCATATGCCCATTTCACTTGAGATTCAGTAACACGTTAAAAGGTTCATTAATCCACATCTTAAAAAGACCAATGACAACCCCATTAACAGCCCATAGGTCAAGTTGATGCATTCAGCTGTAATTAACCACCGAAGGGAAGGATCTAAACATCCTCTTGGCCCACCTGTCTCAGCCTCTCAGTACCCACACTGAGGCAGGCTCCACCTAATCTAACTAGTAAATAACAGAGTTAGGAGAATAAACCACTACTTTGTTTGTTTGCACCAAATGTTTATAAACCGAGAAGGTTTTACCTCTGCAAATGTGATGGACTCTTTTTGAGAACAGCAGGCGAGACTTACTGGCTTGCTGTTTTCCATACTGCTGGGCATCTAGCTGATTCACTGTATTTCATCAGTTCTAACAGGCTAACCCCATCTCTCCATCTGAAATACCTAACCTATCCCATAATCTCAATCTGGCACCTGGCGACATTTTATGGTCACCATGCTGTAGCCTAATAAATAATCTAATAGACTATGACACTGGCTTTGCCTCCTTTGGGCTGAATCTAAATTTTTCAGCTTCTTCAAGATCAAGTTGTCTTCTTGGAAATCAACAACCCATATTCAGTGCAGGGCTTTTAGTCCACATGTCTGCATCTGATCGGCTCACATGCCCTAACTCAGGCATGCAACCAATGAGCTCTCACACTCGAAGTCGTTTAGTGGGAAGGGATCGGAGAAGTTATCCAGCCCAACCCTGCTCCTATTACAGACAGGGAAACCGAGGCTCCTTATTACAAAGGATCTTTCCCTTCACAAATGCCATCATTGTCCATGCATGTGGTGTAGACAACCGATCCCAGCACTCTGTGACTCAGTTAAACAAGGTTTCAGACCAGGATCTGATGATTTCATGTGGCTTCCTCCTTTAGGATTAACCTGAATGCATTTCCACAGTTAAAGTCTGCAAAAGCAGACGGGATCCCATCTGTATTAAACCCCCCTTTCCTCTTTTCCTGGGCTGAGAAGTTGAAGTTCTGCTCAGACAGAAGGATGGCAAATGTGAGCCAAGTTTGGGGTGAACCCCCTTGGGTAGCCATCTGGGATCAGCCCCAGATCTGGTTAAGTAATGATCTCCAAGACTTACACAACCAGCACAGGTAGTGTCGACCAGCCCTCACCACGGGGGGAGACTAGGATGCAGCTGGAAGGCTGAGCACACTCTGGGTTGATGCAAAAGGGGCACATGGGAGGACTCAGCCCTGCCCTGTCCATCCCTCCAGAGGCCTGTGCAAACAATCGCAGGAAAGGAGCACCCAGGAAAGCATCCTGTCCTCTCACTGTAAGGGAAGTGGCTTTGCACTTACTGTACACACTGGGGGTCAGCAGCAACGGGTGGAGGGATGAACAAACAAATCCATGACATTCTACCAGCAATCCGTGCCATCTAAATAGACTGGAACAGGTATTTTCACACATGCACAGCGACTCCTGAGACAGAAGCAGCCAGTGGAAGAAATGGGACAGGTGCGGTTTTCACAGAAGACCCAGCTTGGTGGGGAAGTAAACGGGGTGCCTCGGCTTCCAATTTCGATCTCCCATTCTCTAGCTCTGTGACCTTGATTAAATCATTCATTCTCTCTGAACCTCGGTTTCCCCACCTGAACCCTGGAGAAACCCCTACTTCCCGGAGTGGTACCGAGGCACATTGCCCAGCACAGCCTGGACATTCCCTAAATGCCGCTGCCCCCCAGATGATGGGTCTAAACCCAGGCTGCACACGTATATCGTTATCCAGACCAAACAGTTCCTTTCAGTGGGCGGGTTAAGCCCCCATCCGAGTCCCCAAGGCAAAGGAAAGAACTAAGTCCCAAAGGCGAAGGCGTCTTGTTAGTTCAGCCTCCAGGTGGACTTTGTGGGTAAAAGGAACAGAGGGATTTAAAGGGAAGCCTCGGATGTCTCCAGGCTCTGGGTGGGGTTCGGGGAGGGGGCTCAAAGGCACCCTCCGATCCCTGCGAAGGGGCTTTGTTCCGAGGCGAAGGGCCTGGCTTACCGAGAAGAGCATCCGGAGGCGGGCGAGGGGCGCGCGGGGCACGCAGCAGAGCCACAGCCCGGCCCGGGCCCGGGGCGCCAGAGCAAGCGGATGCCGAGGAGGAGGAGGCTGTCGCCGGCTCCTGCCTCATTCTCCCGGGCAGCGCTGGCCCGCTGGCCGCCGCCCGCTGGGGCTGGCCGCCGGGCACAGGACCCCGAGCTTGCTGCTCATGTCCCAGTCGGCCGCTGGGGAGGCGTTCGCGCAGCCAGATCGTCTCCAGGCGACACCCGGAGGCTCCTCATGCCCCGCGCCGGGGCTCAGCGGGCGAATCTCAGGAAAGCAGCACAGAGGGAAAGAGGAAGAGAAAGAGAGCATGAGAGCGCGCAGAGCTGCGCCCCGCGGGGGCCGGGGGCGGGCGGGCGCCAGCAGCCCCGCCGCCCCACCCACAGCGCCTTGGCGCCCCGCGCCGAGCGCCCAGCGGGGCGCCGAGCCCCAGAAACTTTAGCACATGGTAGGCCCAGCGGCCGGGGTGGCCGTAGATGCCCCTTGTGTCGCGCGGCCTCAATACACCACCACCTCCAAGCTAGGGCCTCGGGCCGCAGCTTACCGGCGGCGACAGCGACCGCAGACGCGAATCGCCCACCTGGCCTCTGGCAGAGCAGTGCGCACCCGCTGGCCGGAGGAAGGGGCGGGCGGCGCTGGGTCCCCGAGGGGAGGGGCACCTGAGGTGGTGATCTGCACCGCTAAGGCATCTTGGTAGCGGGTGCGTGCGGGCCTGGTGTATGCGGAACCGGATGAGGGAGGGTCCCGTGCCCTGCGCCCCACGGCGCAGCTGCTGACGACGCGCGCGGGTTTCCCCGGCCCGGGTCTGCGGAGCCAGCCCTGTTACTTAGCGACTCGCTCCGGGGAGCCCACGCTGACGCGCGAGGAGCTGGGCTGCGGCAGCCGAGGGGAGGGGTGGAGAGGGGCGGATGGCAAGGAAGGGGAGCGGGAGCTCCGGGCGGGGCGCCGCGGAACTCCTCCCTCTGCCTCGCGGGCGGCTCTGGGGAGGGGGTCGGGGCTAGACGCGGCCTCATCCTGGTTTGGAGAAGGGAAGCGCCACGGGCCGGGCGGGGATGGGGAGGTGGGGGGTGGAACGTGGCATAACGATGCTCGGTCGCCTGCACCGCGGCGCAGCAGCAGGTGGCGGCGACGAGGCCCTGGAGACTGGGCGTCCATAGGCGCGCGCGGAGAGGAGCCCTGTCCCTGCGGGAGCGTGGCGAATGTGGCTGGGGGGTGCGTGGGTGTGTCACACGCTTCCACCCACGTGGTGCACAGGGGATCTGGGGACGCGGGTGAAGGAGGCACCTCCTCCTCCCTCTGGTCTCCTTCCCTCCTCCCCGGACATTTCGCTCTTGCGCTCATTGCCTCTTCATCAGGGAAGCACAGTCGCTTAGCTCCCTGCTCTGAGCTCCTCCTAGCTTCCTAAGAACCGCGGATGGCCGCGTGGCTGGGAACAGCCGCCGCATCGTCTGGCCCCAGATCACTGCCCAGGTTCCCCCCACCCCCGACCTGGTGGTGCCTCCCCAACCCAGCCTGGCATCCAGCTGCTGGTCTTGTGGGCCTATAACCTGCTTGTGGTCACCCTCATTTTTCTGAATTTATGGCCTCTCAAATCTACTGCGGTTCATATCCAGGCCCCTGCGATTGCTTTGCAGATTGTAGGATGTTTTTAAGTTACCTAACATCTTTGGTAAATGGATTCTTTGCCCCAAAGCTGGTACCATTAGCCAAGCACTGGTACCTAAAGGCATTCCATGAATGTGAACATGCATTTTCTCCTTGTCTTCTGGAATCTCTCCAGAGTACACATCAATATCCAGGAAAGAGGGGTTCAGCCTCTGAAACACCCTCAGAGCCTGCAGAGACCTCTGCCTATATGCATCAGTGAGGTAACATACGCAGGTACACAGAATGCCTCAGAAGTATGACTGGGTCCAAACCCAGACCTAGTGGTTATCGGATTCCCCAGGCTCATGCCTGTCCCCCTTCAATAGCTCTGTCCAGGGACTCTACCTTCACCATTTCTAAGAAGAGCTACCGCCTCGGAAATGCTGCCTCACTCATATCCGTCCGGGCCACAGAATAGAGACTACCTGCCACCTCACCCACAGAAGCACTCCCCATGCCCTTCCCCAGCAACCTGTTCTCTCTTCCTCTCTGGTGTGGACATGGGTAGTTGTAGGCAGAAGATAGACCTTGCATGGAATGAGAATCACATCTGTCCCTAAGAGTGCCATATCTCCCTGAGGAGCTTTGGGAGATGCCGGGGCCTGAGTAGTTGTTACCGGCCCACAGACAGGATATTTCCCCCATTTACTTTCTATCTGTGAGCTCTCATCAAAAGCCCTACAAATGCATCCAAACCAAAACCATCTTAAGAAACCAAGGCCCAAAGGCAGCATTTTTTTATTTTCTAGAGAAAAGTACTTTGCATCCTAGTCTGTGGGTGACATTCCCCAGTAAAATTCAGAGCAATACCTCTGAGTTTTCCACGAAGTTTTCATGGGTGGTGGCTGCAGGTAATCCAAAGTAACTCCCAGACTATTTGTTAGTGCCAACTTGGCAGCTGGCCCTGTCTTCAGCACTAACTTCCTGTACCCAGGTACAACTTGATATCTGATTTGGCCAGGGAGTCCAGTGTTCAGAACAAACACAGCCTCAGAGCTTGTGTTCCACGCACAGCCGTACGTAGGTCCGCTATTCCAGAAGACAAAGCAACCCTTAGGAAAGAGTGAGTTGGCAGCATAAGCACTTTAGGCACAGTTTGCAGAGATTTATGCCTAGCAAATGTTAGCGTTTCATCCAGGATGGGTTTGGGGATGGATAGGAGGGCTTCCTCCTACACTGCATCACCCTTTAGGCTTTTCTCAAATAGCAGAAGTGTGGAGTGTACAAGCAGCTAGCACTGAGCAAGCCATGCATCCCAGGGCCACCCGGGGCTTGTCCAGCTGCAATGCAATGGGAGGACACCTCCTTGGGCTCTTGATGCATAGCCATGGCATGAGGCCCAGTGTTCGACACTAAGCATGCAGCAAGAGCTGAGTCCTCTACCTTCCAGATACTAACTGGAGCACTTGTAAAGGGCTTAATTAATCCTTGCCAGGTACTTCAGGGACTGAGGTCTTTATCTGTGAAAGTTCACTTTAACCTCATTAAACCCCTAAGATATGTTGATTATCTTTTCTGGAGGGAAGTTTTAAAAGTTTAAGTTTCCTAAAATCACACAGCTAGCAAATGATGAGTTTTGCTGATCCTAAAGCCCTGATTGCTAACAAATATCCTTTACTGTCTGCTGGGCTATGGGAAAAGGAGCACAATACTAATACAGAGTTCCTGCTGTTGATGTTCAGGGTATTCAGGAAGATATGTATGTGAAGTCACCAGCATAGGTCCTGGAACAGAATAAGCTCTTGATAAATCAAGATAGCTAGAGTTTTATCATTAGAACCCCCATGTTGTTTTGAATTTATATCTTCTATTTTATATAGGTTATTAAGCACTATTCTTGAAGCCATACAGGAAAGTGACTAACTTTTTCAGGCACTGTGACTGGCTACACAGAGGTGTCACCTGCATGGAACTCTAAGAGTGGGTAGGTGTAGAAAGCAAACATAAGAGCAAGCTAGTCAGTAGGAACAGGTAGTGGGAAATGCTCGGAGCTGTGGGAACGAGCTGCTGAGAAAGACCCAAGTTTGGAAAGTAGGAGATGGAACAAAACCTGCGGAGGCTGAAATACTAAGGAAGAGGAAGTATGGAGAGACTGGCCTTCCACTGAGACCCTGAGGGAAGCAGGGATTTGGGAGAGCCCACAACTCCTGTTAGGTAACACTGCCTCCCTCCCTAAAGGACAAGCAAAGCCATCTGCTGAGCCTATCCTGTGGCGTGCTGCGTAGGGACAGAGGGTGAAGCAGCTAGCTAGGAAAGAGGATCAGCCTCTATGCAGCAACCCATGCAAAGACCCAGTAACTGTGTGTGACCTGGATCCCTCCCTTCACTCTTGAAGACCATGGGATCGTGGTTCTGGCCAGACGCAGCACTTTGCAGGGACACAGTGGGGCGTACAGTACTCTACACCAGTCACTGTGTACAAGTGAGGGCTTGATAACCTATACTGAGTGCATTGTTTGGATGACAGCCATAAATAGCATAGTATTCTCATTGTTTTACAAATACTAGCTTTTGGTTTCCACATCTGTTCCACTTCATTCATTAGTGCATTCATTCATTAAACAAACATTTAGTAAGCACCTATATATTCAGCAGTGTGTTGACTTCAGATATTCAACAGTAAGAATGCTACCTGTGCTGGCCTCCAGTTATTCCATCTAGAAGGGAAAAGACATTGGTTACATTCCTACTGACCATGCATGGGATTTTTCCTTTCCCTGCATCCTTACCAGCATTAGTTAGGGTTTGTCTTTTTGGTAACAGCCACTTTAACAGGTTTTTGATTATACTTTTAATTTGCCTCTCTCTAATCATTAGCGGTGCTAAACATTTTTATATATCTATTGGCCATTTGCGTGTCTCTTTTTAAGAGTTGTCTATTCAGGTATTTTTTTCTGTTAAAAATAGAACTACTGTGTCATCCAGCAATCTACCCACTACTAGGTGTATGTCCAAAACAAATGAAATTAACATGTAGAGATTACGCAACACAATAAGGTGATTAGTCCTGAATCAGACATCCGAGTCACGTGGTTGGGCAAAAGAGGACTTCTTTCCTGGATCCAGGGATTGAGGAAGGTTTCCTAGAGGAGGAGATTTCTAAGATGGGTTCTGAAAGATGAGTTGGAGCCAGTCCAGTAAAGGAAGGCATTTGGGGAAGGAAAATTGTTCAGGTATCAAACAGCGCTTCAGTTGCAAAGACAAATTATGGGAAACTTCCAATGCTAAGAAATTGAGCCCATAGAGAAAAGTCAAGCTTAGTTGTACCTTTTAAAGAAGAAAAACTATGTGTATCTCAGGAGCTAAAAATGTAGTAGCAGTGAGGTTAGTGGAACCCAAGAGGAAGAAATAACTTAGAAATGGCCCACAAGAAATTGAAAGCACCTTTCCTTTTTAAAAAAATAATTTTGTATGTTTAAACAGGTTTCTGCAACCTACCTACCATTCTCCATACTGGCTGTGTAAGTTTACGTTCCCATTGACAATATGCAAGAATTCCCCTTTCTCCACATCTCACCAACATTTTTTATGTTTTGACTCTTTGGTGATAGCTGTCCTAACAGGTAGGAAGTAGTATCTCGCTGTAGTTTTAGATTGCATCTCTCTGGGAATTCGTGATGTTGAGCATTTTCATGTACCTATTGGTCATTTGTATGTCTCTTTTTGAGACATGTTTCTTCAGATCATTTACCTATTAAAAATAGAAGCACTGCATCATCTAGCAGTCCCCCTGCTGGTATACCTCCACAGGGAATTAAATCAGTATGCTGAAGGGGCATCTTATGTTCCTGACATAGGCGTATTCACAATGCCCAAGTCACAACTGATGAATTGATAAAGAAAATGCAGTACCTATATACAATGGGTTACTACTTACCATAAACAAAGAGTAAAATTATGTCACCAGGACAACCTTAAGGAATCTGGAGGACACTGTGTTATGTGACATAGCTAGGCCCAGACAGACAAATACCACATTATCTCACTCTCATGTGGAATCTAAATCATTGACCTTAGAGAATCAAGAGAGTAAAATACTGGGTACTTGAGGCCGGGGAGAGCAAAAGATGGGGAGAGACTAGTCAGCATGTGTGTTATGGATTAAGAACTGGTGGAAATTTAACGTCAGCTGGGTTACATCAGCATGGCACTGAGTGTAGATGCTCCACCTGAGGAAAGTTGCCAGCATAGAGAGGTGGAGAAGGAGAATGAGGGCATTAAGGCATTATTGCATTGAGGCATTGTGGGTTCTCCTACGAGTTGCTGTCTGAGC